GGGCGGGCACTCACGGCGTTGATGGCCAGGTTGCCGCGGGTGTTGGCCGGGGTGACGCCGTAGAGGATCCCGGCGCCGGCGATGGCCCCGACCAGCTGGGCGGCCACGTAGAGGAGGGTGCGCAGGAAGGAGATCTGGTTGCCCACGAAGAAGGCGATGGTGACGGCCGGGTTGATGTGGGCGCCGCTGACGTGGCCGAAGGCCTGCACCAGCGTGCCGATGGCCAGCCCGAAGGCCAGCGAGATCTGCAGGATGCTGGGCAGCGCCGAGGGCCACTTGAGCGCCGAGCCCAGCCCGATGAAGACGAAGATGAGGGTGGAGAGGAACTCGGCGAAGACGGCCCGGGCGAAGGCCAGGCTCAGGATTTCCCTCCTCATGGCGGGAGCGGGAGGGGACGGGGGTCGGGGCTCCTGGGGCTCCTGCGGGCTCCTCCGTCTGCTCCCGGCGGGAGGGCCATACCTTTCTATATATGCAAGAGCGGCAGGGAGCCGGCTTACAAGGCGGTGTGGGTGGAGCCCCGGGGGAATTAGCCGGTCCTCCCAAATCGGGGCAGGTGAAACTGGAAAAGTTTCCACCTCAAAAACGTCGTCGTAGTCGTCGTCGTCCTCGTCCTCCGGGAGCCTCTGGGTGAACCCGGTGACTCAGACCTCTCGGTGGCGTTTTTTTCTCTCTCTCCCTCTTTCCCCCCTGCCGCGAACAAAGAGCCCCCTCTAGGGTGTCAATCAATGGTCGTTGGATAACCCCGAGCTGTTGCATAACGAGGCTGAGCTGCCTCCTCTGCTGTTCCCTTTTTTTACTGCCTCTCAGCAGGTCCGGGGTGTTTCATTAGCTGAGGTGTCATTGGCCTTCCCTCCCTCCTTTCCCTCCCTCCCTCGGTGCGCTCCTGGGCTGCACGGAGCCAGAGTCTTGGGGGGAAACTGTGGCTGTTGGCCTGGAGGAGCTTTCTTGGGGGTGAAGGAGCTTTCTTGGGGTTGGAGGAGCTTTCTTGGGGTTGGAGGATCTTTCTTGGGGGTGAAGGAACTTTCCCAGGGCTGGAGGAGCTTTCCCAGACAGGAGGACCTTCCCAGTGCTGGAGGAACTTTCTTGGGGCTGGAGGAACTTCCCAGAGCTGGAGGAGCTTTCTTTGGGTTGGAGGAACTTTCTTGGGGCTGGAGGAACTTTCCTGGGGCTAGAGGAGCTTCCCACAGCTGGAGGAGCTTTCTTGGGGTTGCAGAAGCTTTCTTGGGACTGTAGGAACTTTCACAGGGCTGGAGGAGCTTTTCCAGGGCTGGAGGACCTTCCCAGGGCTGAAGGAGCTTTTCCAGAGCTGGAAGAGCTTTCTTGGGGGTGGAGGAACTTTCCCAGGTCTGGAGGAGCTTTCCCAGACAGGAAGACCTTCCCAGGACTGAAGGAGCTTTCTTGGGGCTGGAGAAGCTTTTCCAAGACTGGAGAAGCTTTCCCAGGACTGGAGAAGCTTTCCCAGCTCCAGGAACTTCAACTTCACCCAGGACCTTGCAACATGAAGACAAATCCCCTCCTCTGCAGCTGCTCCCAGGCTGGCCAGAGCTCCAGGAACTTTGCAGCTGTCCTGGGAGCAGGGCAGGAGCTGGGGAGGGGGGTGGATTTGTGCGTCTGGGGGAGATCTGGAACATCCTCAGGGTGCCCAGGGATGGGCTGACCCCTTCCTGGGGCTGCTGGGGCAGAGCCTCCCCCTCCCTCCTTCCCTCTCTGCTGCTCCTTCTGGAAGTGCCGTCCCCCAGGGCCTTCCAGAGCCCTGGAAATGCGGGTTGGAGCCGGTGGGGAGGAGGGGGAGGGAGGGTTCTCCCTCTAACCCCGGGATCGGCGTCTCCTCCTTCTCCTCTCCATCCCTTCCCCTGCTGCCTCTGGAGCTGCGGCTCCTCCAGGCCGATGATTTTCCTGCCGGGAATGCCCGGGGGGGGGTGGGGGGGACGGGAAAAACCTCTCGGGTGCTGCTCGACAAAGAATCCTTCGCTTCTCCCCCCTCTGCTCCAGGACCGGGTGGGAGTTTTTTCTGGAGTGGGGGGTTATTTTTTTGGGGGGGGTGCCAGGTCTGCTCTCCTGGCTGGGTTGAGCCCGGCTTGGCTTTCTCCTTGCCGGGTTTATCCACCCCGGGGGGGCCGCCACGTGGCACTTCAATCCCTTTTATTTCAGAGTTCAAAAAGTTGGATATTCCACCCCACCACCCCCCCGGGGGAAAATTCTGCTGGAGGGAGGGAAAACTGCCAGACCTGAGCTCGAAAATCCAGCAGGGATTTTACTCTCCGGGAGGGGGGGGGGGGGGGAAGGGGGACTCTTGACCCCGGAGCTGAGATTAAAAAGAGCTTTTTCTCCCCTCTTTGTCCCCAAAACGCTGAGCCGAGCAGGGCTGAGAGGAAAGGGGGGGGAAGGGCCTCGAGGGACTGAGGCTCCATTACAGCCCTAATTCCCGGTAATGGTTTTTCGCCTGGATCTGCAGATGCCGGGGCCGATTGCGGAGCCAAAGCCCGGATCTGTTATCCTCGAAGCACCTGGTCCCGCTGGCGCGTTTTGGTGAAAGTTTTGCAAGCCGGTATTTCAAGACGCCCTTGGCCGGATTCCAGGGCGGAGCGATCGTTGCATCTGCTGCTTCCCCTCGGCCCCGAACGCGGCTCGGGCTGGATAAAACTCTCCCTTGTTCCCAATTTTCCAAACCCTTCCCTGG